ATTACAGGTGTCCACCACCACACCCAGCTAATTTCTGTATTTTTAGTAGAGATGGGGTTTCACCATGTCAGTCAGGCTAGTCTTGAACTCCTGACCTCAGGTAATCCACCTGCCTCAGCCTCCCAAAGTGCTGGGATAAGTGAACATCTTTGTATGTACAGTTTTGTGCACTTGTGGTAGTATTTTTTAGGGTAAATTTCTCAGCATTGAAATTTCTGGGTCAGAGATCTTCCAACAGATGGGTTACCAAATGTAGTGTATTACCAGATGTCTCTCAGGGAGGTGGTACCACTTACAGTCCCTATGAGCACACCCCTTTTTCCTCTCTTGCCAGTACGGAGTATTCTAGTAAACATGGTATCTGTTTCTTTAAATTTGCATTTTTAAAAATTATTAGTGCATAGGATGACCTTTAAAGTCTACTGGCTGATTGTATTTTTTCTGTGAATTTCATGTTCACTGCTTTTTGGCCATTTTTCTATTGATGATTTGTCTTTTTGCATTCATTTATAATGCCTCCATACTTTGAAATATTTTACCCAATAAAAATTGACATTTTTATGTAATTAAAGCATGTTACAAAGTTTTAGTAGTGAAAATAATGTGGTCCGGTTACTGTGGCTCACCCCTGTAATCCCAATACTTTGGGAGGCTGAGGCAGGCAGATCACTTGAGCTCAGGAGTTCAAGACCAGCTTGGGCAACATGGCAAAACCCTGGCTTTACAAAAAAATACAAAAATTTAGCCGGGCATTGGTGGCTCACACCTGTATTCCCAGCTACACGGGAGACTGAGGCTGGAGAATTGCTTGAACCCGGGAAGCAGAGGTGGCAGTGAGCTGAGATCGTGCCACTGCACTCCAGCCTGGGTGACAGATGAGACCCTGTCTCAAAAAATATGTAAATAAAATGAAATTAAAAAATAAAATAATGTGATTGGCTGTGTGCAGTGGCTCACACCTATAATCCTAGCACTTTGGGAGGTCGAGATGGGCCGATGGGTTGAGGCCAAGAGTTCAAGACCAGTCTGGGCAACATAGTGGGACCCTGTCTCTACAAAAAAAAAAAAACTTTAAAGATGAGCCATATGTGGTGACACAAACCCATAGTCCCAGCTACTCTAGAGGCAGAGGCAGGAGGATTGCTTGAACCCAGAAGGTCGAGGCTGCAGTGAATCATGATCATGCCACTATACTGCAGCCTGGGTGACAGAGCACGACTGTCTCAAAAA